AATCTCACAATACTTCAAACTGTTTAATAAAATTAGCGAGTGGGTGGGGAAGACAATGTGCACCCATGAGTGAATGAGGATCTAACTTTTCTGTAGACTTTCACTAGGGTCATAATAAAAAAAAAAGGAAACAAACTGGTAAGATTATAATCTTGAGTGGCTATATAATTTTCTCTGCAATGGGAACTAGTGAGACTTGCTTTATTGCAATGATGGCTGGGAACTAAACCTATAAGCTGCGTACCTCTGTACAATACATGTGAAACTTGGTTCCATAAGTTTGAGATCAAATCAAGTTATAAAGTAAACCCCACATCCCCCAAAAAGTACAGCTCTTATGCAGTAATGTAAAAAGCTGCTTGCAATATATTAAAGGGGGCGGGGAATATAGTGGATTATAGATTAGTACTAAAAAATCACTATTAGTTTTTCCCTACTAGTCTTCAGTTTGTAGAAAAATATCTGTGTAAGACCAGACAGAGGCTAACTCTGAGCAGGGGTGGAACTATGCACGTGTAGAAGTGGACTTCACTTTTTACTTTCTCTAAACAGTACACAGGGTCACTATGAGTCACACAGGCAACTTGACGGCTCATAACAACAACAATAACAATAACTGTATAGTCTATGAATGTCTGTTATTTTTACTACTAAAGAGTAATTCACTCTGAGGGAAAACTTGGGGAAAGTGAAATCAGAAAAATCTGTAAAAATGACATAGAACAAAAAGTCAAAACTGTCAAAATCCTACAAGAAAATGAGCACTTGGAGCATGCAGCAGTAGTAAACCCTTTACTCAAAGCCCAAAAGCACTGTTCAAAACACAAACTGCCCACTCCTCACTCCAGCACACTGGACATGATTTCCATGTCAAGTGTAGAATTCAGGTTGTCTTTATTTTTATGACCTTTTTCAGGGTTATTTTATGAATTTTTAAGTATAGACTTTTCTAAAATATTCTAAAAGGAACATGCATGTTCATTCATGATAAAGAAACCTGGTAGCACAGTATGTAAAGTGTTAGACTGCTAACCAAAGACCAGTGGTTCAAAACCACCAGTTGCTCAAAGCGAGGAAGATGTGCAGTTTCTTCTCATGAAGATTTACAACTTTGGAAACTTGGTGGAGGAGCACTATGAATCACAGTTGACTTGATAGCAGTGAGTTTTCCATGGTAAGAATAAAATGAAACATTTAGGAGAGAAATCCTTGATTGATTTTACCTGGGGAGGTGGAAGGGCAGGCCTGTTAAGGTGTGGTGAGGAATCTGAGGACATAATAAATCTAGTCCCCCTCTCTAAAGCCTGGGTGAAAGGCAAACAACAAACTAAAAAAAGCTGCAGTGTAGCCACAGCAGACAGTGCAAGAACACACCATCACCTGGACCTTGCTCATTCCTTAAGTCACCCCTTAGGCCCCATTCCACCTACTTTCCAACCCAGGCAAGCTCAGGATCATTCAACACTACAGTCTCTGCCCTGGGAGCAGGTGGTGGCCGAGTCCTGCTTTCTGAAGTGTTCCGTCAGAATCCAACAGACTTCAAGGAAGGAAAGCACTTACTTATGACATAAACACTGATTCACCCCACTAATCAAAGTGACCCTACATACAAGAGCCTAAACCCCACTCTACGCTGTGCCAACTTCACTGTGTCCGATACACCTACTCTTATTTCCCTAGTCACTGACTCAATTCATCCCCCATAGAAGATCTTCCTCTCCTGTGCTGTCCCTCCAGCCTCCCAAGCATGACGACCTTCTCCAAGAACTGGTCCCTCCTTGCAACATGTCTAAAGTATGTCAGACGAAGCTTCAGAATCCTTGCCTCCAAGGAGTAGCCTGGTTTGACCCTTTCCAGGACAAACCTGTTTGTTCTCTTAGCAGTCCATGGTATATTCAGTAATTCTTTTCCAACAACACAGCTCAAAGGCATCAATTCTCCTGTCATCCCTAGTCACTGTCCAACTCTCTGACACATAGCAAGTGACTGAAAAGACCATGGCCTATATCAGGAGCACCTTAGTCTCCAGACTGACATCACTGCTCTTCAGTACTTTTATAGGTCTCTAACAGCAGACTTTCCCAGTACAATACGTCTTTTAATTTCCTGGCTGCTGGTGCCAAAAGTGTTGACTGTTAAAGCTGTGAACAATTTCAATCTCTTCACCATTTATCATGATGCAGCTAATGGCCCAGTGATGAGAGTCTTTGTTTTCTTGATACTGAGCTTCAATCCGTATTGAAGGCTGCAAGTCCTTGACCTTCCGCAGCAAGCACTTCAGGTTCTCCTCAGTTTTAGCTAATAAGGTTGTGTCATCTGATAATGCGCAGACTGTTGATAAATCTTCCTTCAATCCTGATGTCCCATTTCTCCACATAGAGCCCAGCCTCCCGGATAATCTGTTCTTCATATTGATTGAAAAGGTATGGAGAGGACATAACCCTGGCGTACACCCTTCCCAATTTTGAACCATGCAGTGTTTCTTTGCTCTTTCTGACGAATGCCTCCTGGGCCAAGTATAGGTTTCGCATTAGCACAATCAAGTGTTCTGGGATTCCCATTCTTCTTAGAGTTAGCCACAGTTTGTTGTGATCCACACAGTCAAAGTCTTTGCATAATCACTGAAACAGACATTGCACTGCTTTCAGCCAAGCTCCCTCTAACATTAGCTACAATATGACTAGTACCACAACCCCTTCTAAACCTAGCCTGTACTTCTGGCAGTTCTCTGTTGATGTCAAATCCATGGGAATCAAAATATGACATTGAGTCTATCACACTTGAATTTCAAAACCATCTCAGGAACAGGTTTGAGGCCTTGAACACTTATAAGCGAAGCCCAGATGAATTATGGGAGGATATAAAGAATATCATCCAGGAAGGGTGCAGAAGACAGAGGAGGAAGAAAAGATAAAAATGGATGTCAGAAGAGACTCTGAATATGCACTGGAGTGCCAAGAAGCCAAAGCAGAGGGAAGAAATCAAGATATTAAGGAGCTGAACAGAAGATTTCAAAGGGCAGCTCGGGAAGACAAAGTAAAGTATTATAAAGAAATGTACAAAGAGCTGGAGTCAAAAATCAAAGGGGCCAAACTTGCTCAGCATTTCTTAAGCACAAGGAACTGAAGAACAAATTCAAGACTCGAGTTGCAATACTTAAGGATGTTTTGGGCAGAATATTAAATGATCCAGGAAATATTAAGAGAAGATGGAAAGAGTATACAGAGTCATGGTACACAGAAGAATTTCATGAAACAACATATGCGGAAGAGCCTGTGGTGATGAAGGAGAAGGTCCAAGTTGCTTTGAAAGAACTTGCAAAAAAGGACGACCTAGGAATTGATGGTACACCAACTGACATTTCAACTAACAGAAGTTGCCCTAGATGTGCTCACCAAGTTGTGCCAAGAAATTTGGAAAACAATCAGTTGGCCAACTAACTGGAAGAGATCTATATTTGTTCCCATTCCAAAGAAAGGTGATCTGACAGAGTGTGGAAATTATAGAACGATATCATTAATAACACCTGCAAGCAAGATTCTGCTGAAGATTATCCAAAAATGACTGCATCAGCACATCAACTGAGAATTGTCCTATACACATGAAATAAGGAAGGCATGAAGAACTAACTCCTCTGAGTTATGGTGCTGGCTAAGAATACTCAATCTACCATGGATAGGGTTCAGATCTGCTGTTCACAGCGTCGCTATGGACTGTACCTGACCTGATGGCACCTAACACCACCATTATGAAAAATCATTATGAAATTCCAGGAAAACAAACAAATCTGTTTTGAAAGATATAGAACAGAATGTTCCTTAGAAGTGAGGATGGTGTGACTTCATTTCATGTACTTTGGAAATGTTATCAGGAGGGACCAATCCCTAGAGAAAAACATGCTTGCTAGAATCAGTGAAAAAAAGCTTCAACAAGATGGACACAGTTGCTGCAACAACAGGCTCAAACACAGCAATGACTGAGAGGATTGGGCAGTGTTTTGTTCTGTTGGACACAGGGTTGCTGTGAGTTGGGACTGACTGGATGGTACCTGACCACCACCATCCCCCATCCCCATCATCACCACCACTACTCTCATCAACCCCCTCAAATCCCTATCACCACTATCATCACCCCCCTCAAACTCCCATCACCACCACCATGGCTCCAGAACTGGAGGAGCTGGGTGCAAGACATACAGTGTTCTCTGTATTATCTCTGCAACAATCCTGTAAATCTAAAATCTTTCATAATAAAAATTGGGGTGGAGACTTTTTTCCTGAACATAAGCCCCTGGCTTTCTTTGGAGCCTCCCCAAACACCTGCTGCAGAAATACAGAGATGGCACTGGGTAGGCCAGGTCCCCAGTGGCACACACTGAGGTTACACAGGAGGAACTTCTCTATTTGGCATTGTTAATAAAAACACAACAACTCATCACCATCAAGTAGGAATCAACTCAGGGCTGATCCTCAACCACATTTTCAGAGGCCATAAATTGGAGGGAGATAGTCCATCTTTCTCCTTTGGAGCTGCTGCTGGATCAAACGGTACAAGGTTTGTCACCTCTGAGTTAGCAGTACAGCTCCCTATGAACTATGCCACAGAACTCCCTTTTCAATGAAAAGAGATGCTGTTTGATGGAGCAAAAGGAGGCATTCCCCTCAACATATCATCCAGTTGGGCAGAGATGTTCCTAGTTCACAGGCATGAAGTCCTGGGAGACCAAAGAGACAGAGGTGACCTATCCCTGACACCTCCTTGGACACCTTCAAGTGCTAAACAAGCAGGTAAAGTGAAGGAAGACAAGTCAGTCTTCTGCTTCAGTCTCTAGGGAGCCTGGGAGTAAACTGGAGATAAAGGTGAAGTAACTCACATACAGAAACCGTCCTCACCAAGAAAAGGAGTTTCGGGAGGAGTCTCTGAACCACCATTCCAGCCCCTCTTTGTCCAGCTCCTCTTCACAATGAGGTCCAATCTGCTGCAGGTCAAGAGTCACTTACCATGTTTGGCACATTGGTGACGGAAGCATTCTTGATGTCTGTGGGGAAGGGAGGCAGACTGTTGACCATGCTCTGCTTGGTGGACAGCTGGGGGTTTACACCAGTGGTACCCATCTGTTGCCCTCCTGTTTGACTAAAGGGTTGTCCAAAGGGACTTGTATTACCAGCCATTCCCATCTGAAAAAGAAAGAGGAGACATTTGTGATGAGATCGTTATCACAATCAGGCTCTGTGATAAGACCACACAGCTAACAAGGGGACTTAGAAACGGTGACTTATGACACACAGAAGCAAAACTTATCCTTTTCTGTCAAACTTTCATCTCCACTGAAAGCCAAAGGCTTGTTAGCAGGGCTCCCAGAGAAGGCTCTAAGAACAGTAACTTGCTCAATGGGTGATACCCAATCCTATCATCACCTACCATCTTTCCAAAGGATGACCCTCCTGCTTTATACCTATCAATCTACCAACAAGAAAACATCTGATTTGATAAAATGCATTACTAAAACAACCTGGAACACAAGACTCCCCAGGGAGTCATTTATTTCCATGCAATGGAAATCTACTACACATCTGTCAGTTTGCCATCCCATGGTGACTTGCCTACTGCCATGCAGCCATGCTACCCACCAGAACTTCAAATGCCAGTACGGTCATGTAGGGTGGACAGGTGGCACTGGAGCTTCTGGACTAAGAAGCAGGCTTTGTTCAACTGTTTCTGAAATAAAGGGCTTCGAAACCCTAAGAATAATGGAAGAACATACAGTGCTGGAAGGCATTTAAAAATGTGACTGGTAAAGAGCTGCCTCCTGAAAGCAGAGTACACCTTAATGATGCAGATGGAGAGTTTTCCCTAAAGGATCTTCTTTAGCTGACATGCAAGACTCAAAATAAGGACAAACATGTATAAATACCCATTAACAATTGGAGCATAGGAAAGTACAAAATTCGGAAGTTGTTAAAATGCAATGAAACATGTAATGATTGACATCTTGGGCATTAGTGAGTTAAGATGGACTATACTGGCCATTTTGATTTAAACAATCATATGATCTACAATGCTGGGAGTGACAAGTTGAAGATGAACAGCTTCACATTTATCATCCAAAAGAACATTTCATGATCTACCCTGAATACAAAGCTGTGATAGGATACTATCCATACATAAACAAGAAAGACTTAATACAACTATTATTCAAATAAATGCACCAACCACTAAAGCCAAATAGGAAGAAAGTGAAGGTTTCAACCAATTTTTTTAAATAAAATTTTTATTTTTTACTGGTTTACTTACAAAAGTTCCTATACATTACTTTTCACATGAATCCTTCCCATTTCCTTTACTTACCCCTCCCTCCATCCATCAAACCGTACAGCTCTATGATTAACCACCCATCCCGCCTCCCTCCTAATCTCACCCCTCTGCTCCCACTCTCCCGTTCTTGGATCCTCATACATGTTCTACAATAATCTTACACAGTGTTTGTCCTTATAGGACTAAGTTAGTTCACTTAGCATCATGTTCTCCAGTCCCTTCCAAGTTAGGTAGTGATTTACAAAATCATTGCTCTTGGATGCTGTGTAGTATTCCATTGTGTGAATGTACCATAATTTCTCAATCCATTTGATTGTGGTTGGACATCTGGGTTGTTTCCATGCTCTTATGATGGTGGTAAATAACACTGCTATGAACCTTGGTGTACAAGACCCTCTGTTTTCTGGCTCAGTTCTCATTTTCGCTGGGTATACTCCAAGCAGTGGAATAGCTCGGTCATGTGGAATTTCTATGTTCAGCTTTTTGAGGAAAGGTCGAATTGCCTTCAAGAGTGGTTGTACCATTTTATAATCCCATCAGCAGTGTATTTAAGAGTTCTTATCTTGTCATGTCCTCTCCAATATTTATTACTTGCTGTCCTGTTACACTTTGCCACTTCTACTGGAGTGAGATGGTGTCTCACTTTGGTTTTGATTTCCATCTCTCCTATTGCCAGTGATTTTTTGAGCATTTCTTCATGTGTCTGTTAGCCATCTGGGTATCTTCCTCTGTGAAAATTCTTTCCATGTCTTTTACCCATTTTTTAATTGTATGATCAGTCTTTTTCTTGTGGAGACCCTGTAGGATTCTGTAAACTTTTGATATGAGACCCTTATCGGAAATGGACTTCTACCAACTTTCTTTTTCCTACCAACTTTTGCAGTCTGAAAGATGGAACCAAGATGCATAAATAAATTATTAATTGGTTGATTAACAGGATTGGTGACTGGGATGCAAAAACTGAAAGCAATGAAGGATTGGTAGCTGGAAAATAAAGATTTGGTAACAAAAATGAGGCTGGAGATTGAATGACAGAATTTTGTACAATAAGTAACTTATTCATTACAAGGATCTTTGTTTGAAAACCTAACACTGACTATACATGTACTTCACCTGAGGGACTAACTAGCTAGGCACCAAAATGACTATGCCTGTGGAGTTAATAGAGAAGCTTAATATCAGCAGTCAACACAAGGCTAGGAGGGTCTGACTATGGGGTAAATGATCAACTCACATGGAAGTTAAAGCAAATTAAGAACAAGTTCTCAAGAACCAAAATATGATCTCAAACTGATTACACCTGAATTAAAAAACTACCTCCAGAATAGATGTGACACAGTGAATACCAATGACCAAAATTCAGACAAGGTGTGAGACATTATCAAGATATCATCATTAAAGAAGGCAAAAGGCCATTACAAAGACAAGGGGAAAGGAAAAGAACAAGAGACCCCAAAAGTTCCACTGGGAGAGAGAAAAGAAGTCAAGCAAGGGGAAGGAATGCTGAAGTAAGAGATCAACAGACGATTTCAAAGGACAGTTCAAGAAGACAAAGCAAAATATTATAATGAACTGTAAAAAGATAGTTAGAAAATGAAAAGGGAAGAACACACTCAGCATTTCTCAAGGTTAAAGAAGTGAAGAACAGATTAAAGTCTTGAATTGCAATACTTACTTCTACAAGCAAAATAAGTGAGTGACATAAGAAGCATCAAAAGTTGATGGAAGAAATGTAAAAAGACATTGTACCAAAAAAGAGCTATCTGACAATGAAGTAGGATATGATCAAGAACCAAGAGTACAGAAGATGTCCAAGCTACAGTAATGAAGGCACTGGCAAAAACAAGGCCCCAGGAATTGAAAGAAAATCAAATGAGGTGTTTCAGGAAACAGATGCAGACCAGGACATGTTCATCAGTCTATGCCAAGAAATTTGGAAGACAGCTATGTGGCAAATTGACTGGAAGAGATCCATATCTGTTCCTTTCCCAAACAAGGTGATTCAATAGAATATAGAAATTACTAAAGAATTTCACATGAAAGTAAAATCTTCCTGAAGATTGCTGAAAATAGCTGGCATGATCCATCAACCTGGAATTGTCAGATATTCTAGGTTGATTTACAAGAGGCTGCAGGACAATGGTATCACTGCTGATATTAGGTGGATCTTAAATGAAAGCAGAGAATACTAGAAAGGTGTGTACTTCTGTTTTACTGACTACATAATCATAAGAAATTACGGATAACATGGAGAAGAATGAGAATCCCAGAACACGTAAACATGCTTATGTGAAACCTATACACAGATCAGGAGGCAGTTGTTCAAAGAGAACAAGGGAAATTCAAGGTTTAAAATTTTAAAAAATGTGCCTCTTTTCTCCATACCTATTCAATCTGTATGCTGACCAAGTAACTCAAGAAGCTGGGACTATATGAAGAAGAATGTGGTATCAAAATTGGAGGAACATTCATTAACAACCTATATCGTGAAAATGACAGAGCCCTGCCTGCACAAAGTGAAGATTAGAAGCACTTGCTGCAAAAGATCAAAGACTGTTGTTACATGCTACCGAGTCGCTTGCAACTCATAGTGACTCTTATGTGCAAAAACTCTGAACCCTGCTCCGTCCTGAGCCAGTCTCACTGACTCTGACACATCTACCCTCATTGACCCAGTTACTGTGTCAATCCATCACACCAGGTATATTCCCCGCGCTGTTCCTCCACTCTTCCCAGCATGATGTCCTTATCCTTATCTCTCTTGGCCACATACCCAAAGTGTGTGAGATGGAGCTTAAAAACCCTAGCTGCCAAGGAGAAACTTGGTTTCATCCTCTCCAATACAGACCTGTTTGTTCTCTTGGTTGTCCATGGTTCAAGACTATTCTCCAGCACCACAACTCAAAGGCAGTGATTCTTCTTCTGTCATCCTTAGTTACTGTCCAGCTTTCTGATGCATAGCAAGTAACTGCAAAGACCATGGCCTGAATCAGGCATATCTTGGTCTCTAGATTTGACAGCCTTCATTATGGATTACATCTCAATGTATGGGGATGATAATAAACAATGCGAATAGAGGAAGGTATGAAACAATGTAAATTAAACAAAACACAATGTACACTTCTTATGCAAACCTATATTAAAAAAGGAAAACAAAAATCCTTTCCATTGGTCCATTAGATAACATGATAGATGGAGAAAAGATTAAAGCTGTCAATGACTTACTTTTATTTGGATCCACAATCATCACCAAAGGTTGCAGCAGTCAAGAAATTAAAAAGCAACATGTTGTAAGGAGGGAGAGGTCCTTGCAGAGGGACATCATGCTTGGGTGGAGGGACGGTGCAGGAGGGGAAGACCCTCTATGAGGTGGATTGATTCAGTGACTGGAGTAATCGGGATGGGTGTGTCAGAGGCAGTGCGATTGGCACAGGATAGAGCAGGGTTTAGGGCTGTTGTACATATGGCTACTATGTAACAAGTGACTCGACAGCACATAACAACAACAACAACAACAAATGCACTGAAAAAAATCTGCTTTTAAAGACTTCATCAAAATGCTTCGTCAAAAGTTGGATGTGTAAGAATGACAGAAAAAGTATTGATGCACGCATCTTAACTGTGGTGATGATGAAGAGTACTTGACTATACCTACTAAAAGAACAAAGAAATCTGTTTTGGAAGAACTGTACTCAAGGAGCTCCATAGAGAAAAGGATGGTGAACCTTCATCTTACATACTTTAGAGAAAAGTCAGTCCTTGAAAAAGTCTCCTTGCTGGGAAAGATACAGAGGATCAGGGAAAGAGAGGATGACCCTCAGTGAGATAGAATGACAGGAACAGTAACAAAAACAACGGGCTT